TAGAAGGACGACGAGAGCTTCGCAATTAAATCAGCCAGCTCAGGGGAACACAATTAATTCATTATCTGTTTATTTACTGAACAGTTTAAACATTCCAACCTCTTCATTAAATAAAACCGCTATGGAAAATGATATGAATAACAGAAAAACTACAACCGTGTCTTGAATTACATAGTATACTTTAAAATGTTATTCACTCCTGTTTCGGGCTACTTCAGTTGAAGTTCCCGGCTCTCTACCCAACCACAATTATCCTCCGATAATTAAGTTGTGATATTCATTATTGTATTTCATACAATTTCTTATTCCTAGTTCATTTAACCTCTTCTAATAAAGGTTATCTATACTAAAATATGTATTTTCTCTTGTGTCTTCTTAAGAAGTTACCACATGATGATGAGGATGAACATGCAATTAATATCACAGCAGGCCAAAAGAAAAGTTTATCAATCAATTTCTAAGTGTTGTTTTGTAGGAATGTGATTGAATTCAAGTTAGATCACTAAGTGATCTGAATTAGGGAACCAGTTAAAACCAGGGAATACTGTGGAGGCCGAAAAATATCAGATTATACTTTCATTATAAAATAGTAAAAATAATGAATTCACTGCAAATCATGGTTTTTAATTGAGATTGAAAAAGGACACGACCTGGTTCAGAGCGCAATACGGACGACACAACTTCCCTGTCTAGCTTCTCGCTTTCCACATTTACCAATCATCTCTGGCTCGTATCTGATCCGTATATCCCCTTTCGGATCCTTTGCTTCAATCTTCTTTTCTCTCCGCAAGTACCCTCGGTTCGTTGGTATACTCTTATGTGGAGTGAGCAACTGCATACCCATAAAAGGACTACTTCATCACTGCAGTTCTATACGTCTATATTTGTGTATTTTGGGACAATTATAACTCACCTAATAACTGTATTTTCTATGTATATTAATTTGTATGGACTTAATTCCTTTCTACACAGATACATGTTTGTATTTGTTTTTTTGCCTTTTTATTACGCGTATAAACGAACTTAGCCGTTTATTGCACAACAGTACTGGCTGACTGTTTCATTCTAGTTTTGGACTTTTTAGCATAACCCACACATGACTCCACCAGGTTTCGAACCCAGTAACTTCAGGTTCTCTGACTGATGTTAGTTTAAAGCCAGTCAAATTCCTTCAAACCCAAACCTGAACATTAATCTAATTCTTACTAGTAACTGACGTCAGGATCCCGGCGAGAATCCATGTCCAACTGGGTTCACCAATTCGGGTATTTGGACAGGTACAAGTCGACAGTATTCGCTAGCATTGACACCATATATCGTGAATTGGCTGGACTGCCTCTCAGTGACAGGATAGTCAACGGGCTCTTCCCGCAACCTAAGGTGCTGAGTTCGATTTCTGGTGGGGGTGTGTAATTTCCAAGAGTCTCAAACTAGGACGAAACAACTGTCAAATACTCCCTGATTTTCAATGATTCTCTAACTCATGTCAGTTATTGATTTAATATGACATTATTGATTACATCGTCACTCATTTCGAATCCGATAACGTTTGTCTGGTTTAATGTATATAAGCTACTCACTGACTGGCTGAATGATTTAACACAACACTTATAATGTAATTGCATATCTAATAACAAGGAATCCAATTTTGGTATATAAGTAATTCAACTTAAGCATGTAAACGAAAAGTTTACAACAATGAATTTCATAAAACCATTTACACAAGTTATGTGTAAACAAAAGTATTAACTTGTAGATTCTAGATACTTTAAGGAAATCATGAAGTGTAAGTGAGATCAAACTTTTCAATAGAAAGAAACTACTCTTAGATTATGCGAAATAGTAGAATTAAAAAAGGAAAATATGTAGTCCATATTCACCTGATGTTGTGTATTCGCATGTCGATTATGTCCATGGCTCACTGATGTTTGTTCAACACTGAAGTGCTCAAAACTCATGATGCCATCCCTGACCTGCTTAAAAATTGAGCTACCAAAAACTTCCATCTCTCTGTTGCATAAATTTTCTCTCGTTCAGTTTGTTTTAATCGATTAAGATATGACGTCCAATGGTATTATCTACCCTTCTGATTCTCAAGTTCCTACTGAACTTGAAGAATGGCCTGATTGTGGGTGGCATCGATTTCCAATGCATGTGCGTTGGTGGGACAATTGTTAGGACGCTCGCGGACCGGGGTTCGATCCCCGGCCGACACACACCTGATATCAATGATCAACCTGCTAAATTTGGGCTACCAATATCACATGCTGAAAATTCCATAGTTGTACCAAAACACTGTGTGGAATCAAGCAATCATAAAAATAATAATAAATTTTCTTCAGCTTTGTCCTTGGGTCTCAAAATGTACTTCTGAACAACGACAGGAGAATTAGAAACTCAAGTCTATAGAAAATCAACTCACACAGACCAAATCCTGAATTACAACAGCAACAATCCAATAGCACACAAGAGGAATTGCATACAAACACTATTCAAGCGAGCCAGGACTCATTGCAGCACTCCCACCTCAAGGAAAATTGAAGAAAAATATCTCATGGACGTCTTCCAAAAGAATGGATATCCACGGAATTTCATCAAAAGATATATACCCCCAAGCCAACCTATCAAGCCAAAAGCCCCCAAGGAAAGCACAAAGAAAATCGCCTTACCATATATAAAGGATATCTCAGAAATCACTACAAGACTCTTCAAACCTTTAGGAATTGACGTCGTACACAAACCAACAAAGTCACTTCACTCAATTCTATGTCAACCAAAAGACTCAACAGCGAAGGAAGATAAAACCAACATCATCTACAAAATAGATTGTATCAACTGCGAAAAACACTACATTGGCCAAAGTGGACGTCCCCTTCGTCTTCGTATCCACGAACATAAGCTAGCTGTCAAGAGACATGATATCCACTCCCTCATATCACTACATACAGACAACCACGGACACCAATTTGACTGGGACAACGTTCAAATATTAGACAGAGGAAACAACAAGAATGCTAGAGAATTTTTAGAAGCTTGGCATTCCAGTGAATCATCAATCAATAGACACATCGAGATAGACAAAATTTATCAACCGATAAGAAAGAAACGTCACACACAAAGGGTCAAAGTTCAAGTCAAAGAAACAATGAGTGACAATGCAAGCAACCTAGAAGGTGTGAAAACAAACAAAAACAACCAATCACGTCCAAGGTCGCCAGGAGAGATGATTAATAAACTCGTGGAGAAATCTAAAAGCTCACTTCAAATTGAAGTATGCGCTGAAGATGTCACCTAGTAGGGTGATGAAAGCTTCGCAAATCAACTATCCAGCTCAGAGAACACAACCACATCAAAATCATCCACCTGAGCTACAAATCTTCTCTATCATTTCTGTACTTCTGAACATCTTGCAATTGGCTTTCAACTATATATGGCAGTTGTATCGGCATCTAATGAACCATAATTCGTCTTACTTCGAAGTTACTTCAGTTATATAACACTGAGTAGGGATTTCCTGCACTTAGCATCGAAAAAAGTTGCTTTATCAACAGATGGATATTCATTTTAGTCCAACTCAACGTAGCTTTTCATAGAAGGTTATGGATAGGTGTTGCGTTTTCTATTATATTTATTTGTTTGTTCACTTAAATATTTTCTAGTAACCTAAAGTGTTAAGCGTGAGCTTACCTCATTTTATCTCTCACCATTTGACTATAAGAAACACAACAGTCAATATGGTTTACCGATACAATTGTTTGTAAGAGGTGTGTCCCAATGATTTTTATGCAAATCGTAACCCATAATGGTGTTTGGTGTCATTAGTAATGGATCCTATACTATTTGAGTTCCCAACAATTAGTGAGGAAGGCAACGTAATGTCATTGGTCTACATCCTTCCTTTCTTATTGGATATTTTGCTTCAGATTGGAAAACACAAAAATAAATGCGTTCAAATCCAGAATGTTCTACGGGCTTAGCAAACTATTTCAAATTACAGGTCTGGACTGATATGGTAAAAGAATCGAGGTGATTTAGTGAAAGTCATTCATATTTATATTCTCCACCCTTTTTTATTCATTATTAGATAACAGGTTATTACGCAAACGGTGACTTAGCTGTGATTTGACTGATATCAGAGTACATTTCAAAATGAAATTATATTAGTTAGGGGTTTATTGGAAGCCAAGGAGCACTGAAGAGTTGTTTCGTCCTAAGTTAGAAGTCTTCATCAATACGTGACAACGAAATCTCTCTTGACATTAGCCGAACTGTTACAATCCCAATATCTGAATATTAGTCCACTCTTCATTCATAGCCGGCTTCAAGTAGAATTTCTGCAGGTTATGGTGAGGTCTCGTGAAGGACAATAAATCTAATATTGAGGGTTAATAAAAAGTTCAAAATCATTGTTTTTTTATTCCAACCTGCTGGCTTCATCCTAGCCTTGAAACTTGATGTTCCCAAATTAGTTCAGTGCCTGGTTTGTTAGTAAGGACACATTGTTGAAAGCGGATGGCTACATTTTCTTGGCTTTGATTAGTTCTCTGTTTGGCTTCGATTCCTGACGAAACTTTATTTACTACAATTTGTTAACTTTGAAACAGAACTGATAAATGCAAAGCTCTATGAGTGAGCAAATATCTCTGAAGTGACTTCCTTTTACTACACTTAACTAATCTCTGTTTCTTTTAGTAACTAGTACTTAGACCTTTACTAAAAGCATTATCACTGTTCACTGCATTTAATAAATCCCGGTGGGTGCGTACTGCTGAAGAGTCCCAAACTAGGACGAAACAGCTGTCCAGTACTCCCAGGTTTTCCAATGGTTCTCTAACTAATGTCAGCTCATGATGAAAATCCTGTAAAAAACAAAATTCTTCGTAAGGATAGACAATCTATTCATCAAACAGTTCATATCTTAGAATGATAAAGAACGCTACCTCCAATTTAACTTTTATCTATAGAATGTTTTCTACCATTCAAACTCTGAACGGTTTCAACTTCTAACATCTTTAACCAGTAGTGGGTTTTTTTTACTTCAAAGCTTCAGACAAACCAAAAACAGAAAAATAAAACATTACTTTTGTGAATACAACTTTTCAATATTAAAGAATATGATTAGATTTTAAGTATACAATGAAATGAATGTGATACGAAAATAAGAAAGTTATATCTGTAAGCAGATGACCAGAAATATGTCCTTGAATCAACTGATATACATCAATTTAAACAAACACAAATACAAGAAAGGAGTTTTTTCTTCAAGTCACTAAACTGTAAAATGAATGGAAAACTCTATAAAAACAAAACAATCCAATATGAAATGAGATGTCTTCATGTTGTTCAAAATACGTTTGTTTGTTTGCTTGCTTGTTTGTTGTTTGCTGTTTGTGTTTGTTTTAATTCACTGTTTCTTACTTATGTAGAAACAGATAATCAAGATAGGCACAAACAAGAATTGATATGTTGGACAACTTTTGAAGCCTACATTACAGTAGTCTCTATCACAACATGTGTAATTGAAGTTAAAAACTTTTATATTCTTTGTCTCTGGATCACACTTATCTGAGCATTTTCTGACGTCACCTTCGAATAGGTCAATTGATGCCGTCTAGTGAGTGAATGATTGAGTAAGAATGGAATTTTTAAATTTCTAAAGAAATACTTTCACAGAAAATATTATTAATTACTAATATTAGATACGAATAAAAACAAAAACTTCGATAACTAATACTCAAGTCAAAACAAATTATAATCATCAGGTTTGGATCATTACATCACAATAAGCTAAGTTTACTCACCACCTGTGAGGCGATGGCGTTGAATGCTCACCAGTCACTTGGTAGGTTCAGGTTAGATTTCCGGTCGACTCACTCTTAAATTTCGTCTAGTCTTCTAGCTGGTAGCGAACCCGGAAGAGAGGAAAGACTGGACTTATCGCTTAATAAAGACAACAGGTCTACAGAAACTTTGAAGAGTGAAACCAAAAGTTCCACTCGAAACTCAAAGAATGAAAAAAAGGTTACTGCTAAAGGCACTGATAGACATATAAAATATTCATCTAGCGTTAATTATCAACTGAAGATTAATTAATTCAGTTTGCTTAGATTTACAGTCATATTTTTTAATTTCTTTTATCCACTGGTATATGCATCTCTAATTAATTGGAGCTTTTTTAAAACTGGGAATTGATTTTATTAGAGTATTAGGCAGAAGTACAGTATACTAAGCTAGCATAAAATCTGACACGAAAGGAATTAGACTCCTCTGTTAATTACTTCCTAAAGAAATCATTAATATACTGACTTGCTCAAAAACCAGGTTCCTTAAGTTAATAGATGTTGAGACTACTTGAGTTACTCTTTGGTTGGTAGATCAACACTGATGTCATGACTGACGATTGAAAGTGAAGTGAAGCCTGGGCCAAACTGGTAATCTGGAGGTTGTTGGTGCATATCCTAATGTTACTCCAGTTTCCGTTTCACTATCTGCATTAAATGTCATAGGCTGAATGTTTTAATGTGACCAAGTAACCTAACAGAACACCCTATCGAAAAATGAAATCGTCACAGAATTCTGATGCAAAATATTCATTCAAATTAATGAAGGGATTCATAAGTTGACGTTATTTTTTCTTTTCTAAATTTATTTTTTCCACAAATTTAAGAATCCATCTTTATTACGGCATAATGTGTGTGTAATATGATAAATTTTGATGATCAAATAACAGTTTCCCGATGTATATATTTCACTTGATTATGAAATAAGTTCCCGTCGTGTGAAACTACTCAATGAATGTCTGTGGAGTACGTAACAGTATGATTGTACACCTTTCTGTGAGGTGTTTAAATTGGAGATATTGTACATGACTTTTGTTTAAAACGATTCATGTTGAAATATAGATAACTTCTGAGCACAATCTAAAATACACTGTACTGTTGGTCGTTTCGTCCTCTCAGTGGTCTATACTGTCTGCTTGCTTCACTCATAACCGTGTTGTATACTGTGGATTTCTGCAGAAACCTCTTATCCTCATCCGAAGACAATTCTACAACCGGTACACAGCCTCTACCGGTAGACACGATCCCAGCAGTGAACGCTTCTGTGGATTATATTGATAAATTTGTAGCCGTGGACTTTAACCAAATATCCAAGTAACCGTTTAACTAATATAACTCATTACTGTACTTTTTATAATATATTGTTACACTATCATCTCATTAACTTGGATTTTTATTCGCATACTTGTCATCTTATTGAGTTCGCTAGACAGCCCCCTACATGTCCTTATATAAGCTCAGATTAGTTCATCTATTTTAGATTAATAGAGAGGATTTGTAGCTCAGGTGAATGATTTTCATGTGGTTATGTTCTGTGAGCTGAATGTTTTAATTACGTAGCTTTCACTGTCTTTCTGGACTGCAACTATTGTATTCAGTGCAATGAAATCTCTTGAAAACTCAATACCATTAACAAAAAACACTGTATAAGTAGAACGAGTATATATAACCCCTTTTAAGACTTAATCTACCTCGACCTCTCCATAATTTCTACTTTTATCAAGTGCACATTGACTAAGAAAATGTTGAATACCCACACTGTCTTTACCTAACTTTATCAATTTTTTAGTTCAACTATGTGGATTTTTATCAAGTGTAAATACACCTGTTTAGCTTAATAATAAAACAGGTGAACAGAAATGCTTCTTTGTTCCTGTCATCTATTCATTCATTCATTCATTCATTCATTAATGAATACACTCCATTAGCTAAATAACCCGCGGTCGAAACTCAGTTATATTGTATAATATAGTACTTCTCAAGTTCACATGGTTACTTACTCCACAGGATTTCGTTTGTGTTCTGACCTTTCGTCGATGTGATCATGAAAGAGCACTGGTTGATGACGGCGAGACTTCAGCTGAAAATGCTTTTAACCAATTTCAATACTTTCTTAAGATCAAATGTACCAAAACATCCAAAAGTGAATTAGAATATATAGTCTTTTCTACACAATATGTGTCTATATGTAACCATTCAGTGTGGCTAAAAAATCTTTTATGAATGTTGAACTGACGAAGAAGCTAACTTTGGGGCGTCAGTGGCACTCTCGCCGGCCATACACATGGTCCGGGGTTCGATCCCCTACCAGCGCACACCTGATATCAATGGTCAGCCTGAGAAATTCGGGCTACCGATGTCACTCGCTGAAATTCCATGCCTGTACCAAAAATACTGTATGGAATCAGGCTATAATCAAAATTAAAAATAAAATATAAGAAGCATATTTAAGTATCGAAGGGAATAGGAGTTTTCAAACCCTTCTGATAACAACTGACAGCCTCGAAACCATTATCCAGGAGTTCCTATGTGATTCATCTTAAGCAACTAATAGGATATGTTTCTAATTCATGAAATATCCACCTTATTATGCAGCAAAAACCATATGAACGCCACCAAAGCATGAAAACCATAATGATAGTTGGATTACTACATCAGCTTTTCGTCATTTACTGTCTTCCTATGATATATCTAGCATGCGAACTGATGTAAAAGTTATTTTAGAAAGTGGTATTACTTCTTCTCACATAGATAGTTATCATTATACCTGCACGCAAAATAAATCTGGAGAACAGTGGACTAGTGACAGACAATCTTACTTCAGATTTATTCTATCGTTTAACTTAACCGACTACATATTTGAGGTGTTCAATATCTTTCAAGTATTCCGTAAAAAAAGGTTTTACTTTCATCACTAATTACAAGCGAGTATATAGCAGGAAGAATTAATCCAAGGAACTCAAAAGTACAATAATTTCACTGCATGTTATACTACTGTTTCAACTAGTGTAGAATAATATTCACATATATCGGGTAATGTAGGAATGTAATTTACTCAGAAGTGTAAATTTCGACACAAAAGATAAATTAAATTTACTCTGAAAACACCAATTACCTTTCAGTAGTGTAGTAAAATCTTAAAAATCAGTATTATGCGGTAATTACAACTGTAGGCTTTATAGGCTTTTAACTTACTATGCAAACTTTGCAGCCTGTTGCTACACCAACACGTGGAGAAGAGACATTGAATGGTTTTGGACAATCGTCACAAACATAACAACTAATCGAAAGAGCTGAAATGTTAAAAGGTAAAATATTGTTCAAAATGAGCAAATCTGTAAATTTTTATTAAATGACCACAGCAAAACTTCTATCTTAAAAGTTTACAATCGGTCCTATTCAAAAAATACCCGTTTTGCAGCACTAAACTGAAAATAAACCTGATTCTAATGTCATTCACATCGGTGGCACAGCAGTAGAATGCTCGCCGACCACATCACATGTGGTCCGAGGTTCAATCCCCAGCCGACGCACTCCTCTACCTAGCTAAGCCAGTAATAAGACTGGTAAAGAGGGAAGTTTGGGCATGAGGCTAGCAACCCCCACCCAGTAAAAATTAACACCACTATTACCGAAACTTCAGAGCTCAAGAAGCTTGAAGCCGTATGTTCCACTGGGAACGTAAAGGAATGAAAAAAAATAATGTCATTCATTGTACGTGTAAATAACTAAGTGTATTCACATTATTTTAAATACTCCATATTTGCAATGCACAATGAAGGTCGTGGAAGTTGTATGGGTGGTCATGAGTTGTTCGACCTTAATGATTCAGTTAAAGAGATTCCTCTTATTTAGGTAACCTGATAAACAAGGACTTTAAAAAAGATAACATGAAAATCTTAACATAATTTCTTGAGTAGACCAATAGATAGTTCGAGATGTTATTATTGACTGTGTATAAGACTGACTACTTGTTTTGCTGGTATAATCTCTCACTCTGCACTTTACTTGCTACACTTTTCTTATTCAGTAAACGGAACTCACAGTTATGTACTTTTTGATCAATCTTTGTTCAAACAAGCAATCTTTTAGAAATTTTGTAGAATTTTCTTTAAGGAGAATTAGGTATTGTCCACATGAATTGAAATAAGGGATTGCTTGTTATGCTGTTCACTATCCAATCGACTCTCACAGGTATCAATATAGGTAGGCAATCGCTTCATCAACCTTTTTGTTTATCACAGTTGCTATAATTTATCATATGAGCGATAATCACTAATTTATTGACTGGAACATAGCTCTTCAACTGCACGTCTCCACTCACTTCGGTCTTCTGCTGTACTTTTCACCTGCATCCATATTAGTCCATACTGTTTCAACTCCTCTTCACACGATCTCCTCCATGTCACCCTTGGACATCACACTCGTCGCTTCCCTTTCGGATTCCACTCGAGCTATGGCCTGATGCGCAATGTCACCCAGCGTGGCCTCCTCAGCGAGTGTCCAATCCATCTCCACTTTCTCCTGCATAAATGGTTATGCCTCTGGTATATATCTTTTGAGAAAGATTTTTGAGCGATATACTATCTGAATATTTACGTCTCATTATTAATAATAATAATAATAATACGTTTCATGTGTGAAAGTCACTGCTTTACTCATTGTGCAATATATTCTGAAATACCAATGATTCCACTGGTGATGCCTTCACTTGTTGATTCGTTTCATCAATGTGTGTGTTCAATAGATTGTAAAATATAAAAATCTTTGCACGACAGAATTCCCTGATTCGTGAAAAGAGGCGACATAACATCCTTCATCAGTTATACTATAATATAGACATACATATAACTGTAAAACAGAAAGATACTTCTTGGTAGTTGTTTTCTATGCGAGTAGTCACTATCTTTTATGATATTCTTACTAAAGGTTTGATAAAACTAACATGGCTTTAGGATGTTCAAGACCTTTTAGAAGCTTCTCGAAAATGATAGGATGAGAAAGACTAACAGTGTATACCTGTATATCCTCCCAAGATGTTGCGTCTGGCTAGTTTTTGAATATTATCGAGGGGTGAGGAATAACTCCATTAGTACCCAGTTTACTATTTTTATTTCTTCTGCTTTGCACAATTTCCCTCAAGTTTTGATGATCACCTTTTAACGGCTGTTTATTACACAAAAATGACTTTAATAAGATTTACAACTTTTTGATGAGATCGTTCTTATTTACGACTACATGCTATTTGAGTTTGGAAAGTAATATTCTGTTTCTTCTGAATCTCCTCAACGCAATTCATAGATCCTTCATCTTCTACTACTTTGATTAGAGCTGCAACCCTTAAAAACATTTCAGATATACATTACTTTACTTAATTTTAATATCTCAGACGGAGATTTCCACTTCCAGGGAATCATATTGTATCGTTTTGCTGCAGATACTATTTTGAATTAGTCAAACGAGTTTGTACAAATGTACTTCCCTTGTTATCAATGGCTTTCAAATATGGAACAGCTTTATTCAGAGGATGTTTTATGTCTCTTCTCTACTTTGTTTGTTTAATTTCACAAAAATTGTGACCAGTATTTTCTTCATACCAAGTATACCCTTTGAACTCTACGCATCCTTGTTAATGACATACTGATAATGTACATCAATAGTTGCTAATCTTAGCGTTTGCTTTGTCATGGTATACCCGTTTCCGGCAGCTTACTTGAACTTTGGGTTACTGAAATACCATATTCCATCAAATCACATATTGCTTCAATTTGCTTCTCATATTTGTATCTTTTTGTTTTAATCGATCATTAATGTCTCCTAATTGTATTACATACAGTCGCGTCTTTTTTAAATCTTTCTAGCCTATGACACTGAGTTGTCCTCAAAAGTTGAATAAAAAGTATCACCGAGGTTGGCAACAATCACTAAAATGTACACATATTGGTCACATGACTGTCCCTGAAATGTTTGGTACGATCTGTAGACCTATTTTTAACGCTAAAAATTCACTTCTGCATTAAAAAGAATGATCGCTTGAAATAAAATGATGATTATTACTAATTGGTATGATATTCTGCAAGGGACTGAGATGAAATGAGACTATTCATCGATACCCTGAGTTTTCTTATAGGAAAAATAATCAATATTATAAGATGTGTTAAGCCTATCAAGTTTGGGCATAATGTCTTATTTCCTTCACTGATTGTGACTCTGGATGTTTCAAAAGCAACTAACTGGTTCCTGTCGACTTTCTTGAAAAGGATGAACTGTGAAAAATGAAATCTGCTCACAGATACTTTTGCTACACCGTTTGCTACATCGAAGAAAGTCTCAGTGTTGTTTGACTTAAAAGTCAGAAACAAAAGTTTTTTTTCAAAATTAATAAGACAAGGTGTACTGAAATGCAGCAGGCTATAGACCACTTTGTGATGGAAAATAAATTCACTTCTCTTGTGATTAAATAAATAGAAGTTGGGCACTTCGTTGCACGACATTATTCTATGCATTTGTACTATAAGAATAAAAGAATACAGACGAGTGAATTATATGTGTATATATGTATTAACAAACTCCATAAACTTACTGTAACTTGCACTAGCTATAATCAACAATGTGACCAGGAGAAGCTGCACATCAAATCTCATCTCGTTAACTGTATACTTTACCAGTATGTGGAAGCGCGAAGGTCGAACTTCTTTATATGTCTCTAATAGATTATGCAGTCAACTGACTTATTTATATATTATAGTAAAAGCGAAAGTGATTCGTTAAATTTTTATAGCACTTAACGCTGCTCCACATGAAATTCGGAGTAGGTTTTTTATTGGTAACTGAGATCTCGATATGAACCGATTCATTGGTTAGTTGACTCTACTCTACTCTACTAAAGCGTATACCAGATATTAACACTGTTTATCAATTGGAATCATGTGATAGAAGTCGTCATAGTATTGCTTTGATAAGAAATAAAAATGTATGTTATTACTGAATTTCTGTTCTCGATAGTACTACTGACAACCACACTGACAGTAACAATAGAAAACGGTTCAAAATGATATCGCAACTAAATCCCTTCCTAAAAATAGCTTCCAGACGATAACACTGCGTGATTTTTCACCTGCATAACTTGGTTTTTTTCGGTCTGTTAGGTTTCTTATTAGCACCAAAACCTTTTTTCAGTTTTTTCTTTCTTTACAGATCTCAGCAAGTTATAATCTTAGAGTAATAAGACATAAATTTCAATTTTTGCAGGCATGAGTTGACACTCACCAGTGTAAAAGAAGAGTCTGGATACTAACGAAGATTAGAAATCCATATCAACCACGTTTACAAGCGAAAACCGACAAACTGGTCGAAGAAGCAGCAAAGACAGGACTCCAAGTGAACATAGACAAGACGGAGGTCATGAAAATAACCAACCAACAACAACAACAGCAACATACAGCGCCAATCACCATCAACGGGAGAGATTTGAAAGAGGTTACTTCATTCACTTATCTAGCGAGCATTGTCTCAACTACAGGAGGAACGGACGAGGATGTCAAATCGAGAATCGGGAAGGCGAGAAACACATTCATCAACATGAAACCAATCTGGAAATCTTCGTCACTCAATATGAACAACAAAATTCGGATTTTCAATGCAAACGTCAAGTCAGTCACTTCTTCTATACGGATCAGAAACTTGGAGGGCCACAAAGAATATCAACAACTGTCTTCACTCTATACTGAAGATCAGATGGCCGGAAATAATCACCAACAAGAAACTATGGGAACAAACAAAACAAGAACCAATCGGCCAACAAATATGCAGGAGAAAGTGGAGATGGATTGGACACTCACTAAGGAGGCCGCTGAGTGACATCGCGCGTCAGGCCATAGCTCGAGTGGAACCCGAAAGGGAAGCGGTGAATCGGATGTCCAAGGGTGACATGTAGGAGATTGTGTGGAGAGGAGTCGAAACAGTATGGACTAAGATGGATGCATGTGAAAAGTATGACAGAAGACAGAAACAAGTGGAGACGCGCAGTTGAATCCCTATGTTCCACTAGGAATCCAAGGGAACAATAATAATAATACCACAATCACAATTTGCACATGCCTTCCGTAGTGTGTATTGTGTTTCTTTGTCTTCCTTTCATGTTTCCCATGTTGTTTCACAAGGATCGTTCACTTCTTTTCTCCGCCATTAAATCTATCTTTCCACTATTCGATGTTATTGCAGACGGTATGCATATTTTTATTTGTATCTACATACTACTTATAAATGTTGTCAGTAGCACATGCCACAGATTATCTACATGTCTTGCATTGGTTGACACATTTCAATATCAGTTGGCTCAAGGCAATTAATTTAGAGTTAAGATTCCACAGTCTTCATTTCAATGGACTCACTAAGTATTTTAAAGATTGTGATATGCTTGGAGATAACAAAAGTTCTACGTACATTACGATCCTATTATATCATGCAAAGCCCCTCTAGGTGATGAAACCTGCATACCTTCTACAACTTTGACTATTAGGAATATCATTAATCAGGGGATTCCTGTATTAAGCAAAAATAATGACCGAGTAAATAAATATATATATATTATCCACTAGTCTCACTAAAATAGTCTGTCCTACAGTAGCAGCAGACCACAGAAGTATCTGGCAGTAAAATGGCCACTTGTTAAGTGATATACAGTGATAGACAAATACAGAAACCTTTTATGCATAAAACTACCTAGCACGATTTTCAAATTAGTGAACAATTTGCAAGCTTTCACCCCTCGAACTGCATAAACTGAAAATTGCTAACTCACCTGCCAATTATGAATTCGCGACTAACAGAGACCTTACATTGAAATTTTTATTCGCAATCGTTCTTCAGATTCTGTTCCTATTGTATTCCATTTTAGGGATTTCTACATTGTTTCCAGAGAATCTTCCATCTCTCCTGACCTCAAATTGATCTGATGCTCCTGTACTCAGGATTTTCTGTAGAAGGTGCCACACGCGATATCCTACTTATAAATTTTGTCAGTAGTACGCGCCACAGATATACTACTTAGCTCACTCATTAAGAGACAGAGAGACTTAGTAGTTATGATTATGCACTGTTACTCATAATGCGTCAAAAATCATTTACAAATAACTTAAAATACACATATGATCATATGATCACACAAATTTATTATTTTATGTGAGCATTTTCTTTCATTCCTTCACGTTCTCAGTGGAACATTGGGCTTCAAGCTAGAGAATTGGAGCTTCTGTAGCAATGCTTATTTTTACAAGATGGGGTTGCTAGCCTGATGCCCATCCTTTCCTCTTTACAGCTTTGTTACTGGCTTAGCGAGGTAAAGGAGTGGGTCGGCCGGGGGTTGAACCCCGGACCATGTGTATGGGCGGCGAACGTCCTAACCGCTGTGCCACCGGTGCTATTACTTTATGTAGAAACCTTATATTTCATAAAATAAATCATCCAAACTCTAACGACTGCAGAATAATACTACGAATCAAATTATTAAAACGGGTCAGGCGTAAAAAATAAGTACTTAGAAAATCAAACCATGGGTCACAGACGATATTTTAAACCTGTGTGATACAAGAAGAGAACTAAAAAAGAAGAAAGGACTTAATTCCCAGTACAGGGAAGAGTATAGAACAGTAGACAAAGAAATACGCTCCAAAATGAAGAGAGCAAAAGAGGGCTGGATTACTGAACAATGTAATATCATCGATAATAGCTTAAGGGGAGGCAACAATAAAAAAGCATTCGAAACACTGAGTAAGCTGACCAATACGAAACTGAATAGAGCAACCGTAATTGAGGATGGCAAAGGCACCCTCTTAACAGAAGAAGCAGATATCCTTAGAAGGTGGACAGAATACTGTAAGGGACTCTACAATCATAAAATAAGCCCTAATTATAGCCTAATAAACAATTCATGCTGGGACAATAGGGCGATCGGTGATTCACCCATACTAGAGTCAGAAGTAGAGGAAGCAATAAAATCACTTAAGGGAGATAAATCACCAGGAATTGACAACATACCGGCAGAACTAATTAAACATGGTGGACCACAAACAGTTAAATGGCTGAAAGCAGCCTGTCAAAAAATCTGGCAAGAAAAAGAATGGCCTAAAGAATGGACTCAGTCACTAATCATTCCAATATTTAAGAAAGGGGACGCAAAGCAGTGCGAACAATATATATAACAACTTAATCATCGTTCCTCAGCATGAGGTCATTTTTCCATTGTTAAATTGGACAATTGGTAAAGATAACAAAACTGGGTGAAGATTGTTGGATTTGATAAGAATATAAGATTACAAGAACAGCATGTGTTTACATAATGAAACTGATTATCACATTCATGTTGATTTTGTCATTTCATGGAGGAGGGGGTGTTGTAGCCATGTCAGATTCTGTTTTAGTCAGTCTTTCTTTTCTAGTTCAACTGGATTTCATGGTGGTCGAACAGATACTCCACGGTGTTCGTTTCTTCTCATTACGATTTCTTGTATGTCGCATTGGATTCCAAGCATTTTATTTTACAGACACAATTAGATGGAGAATCTCTCGGGATTTGATCTTTTATATGGACACCTACGTCCACATCATGTGTGAGACTCGCACAGCTTCCCAGATTGCAAACGAGATAAAAAGATACGGAATTCAAGTATTGAGAATATGCGAAAGCAGATGGAATGGTAGTGGACTCACCAAATTATCAACGGCAAAGTCCATGATCTACTACGATCACTCAGAGGACAACCACACGCACACCGACGGTGTGGCCATCATAATGTCGCCAGCGACAACGAAGGTCCTTATACAATGAGAGGCGATCTCGCCCAAGGTAATGACCGCCAGATTCAACTCAAAATGAAGGAGAGTATCAGTCATACAATGCTATGCACCCACGAACAACGCACACCTCGAAAAGAAAGAAGAGTTCTACAGACAACTACAGGCAACAATGGATAATACTCCAGTCGGTGACGTTAAAATACTAATGGGAGACATGAACGTCAAACTGGGACCAGACAACACAAGAAGAGAAACAGGAGTTGCAGACAGACCACAAGCCAAGTTCAATACTCAAAAACTGAAGGACCAGGATACAAAGGACATCTTCACTGCACACATAGTGAAAAAGGCGGAGACACAAATCAACACTAGCGAAGAAAAGCTACTAGAACAACTTGAAAGTGTTGTCGAGTCAAACCTGCATCGAAGTTCTAGGCAGAAAGAAGAGACAGGACAAACAGTGGCTCACTACAGACACATGGAGACTAATAGAAGAGAGAAGGATGTTGAAACAAAAGATTATGCAGCGCATCGACGAGCAACAAAAACAGAAGCTGAATGCGAGCTACAATACACTGAACAAAAGAGTAAAGAAGAGTACCAGGGAAGACAAAAGAAAATATTATGAAGCAGAGCAAGCTGCAGGCAAAGGGGACCTCCAAACACTCTACCAAACAACTAGATTCCTATCGGGGAAAAGTTCGACACAAATTCAGCCAGCGAAGAATGACAATTGAAAGCCAATCACCAAAGGGATGGAGCAAGGGAAACACTGGGCTGAACACTTCAGAAGACTTCTAAATCGATCTCCACCTACAACGCGCCCAGTAAAGTCAAAAGTGGAAGCAGAAATACCAGTAGACATCAACCCTCCTACGAAAACAGAAATCCTGAAGGCAATAAAGATGCGAAAAACTGGAAAAGCGGCAGGACCAGACGGAATCCCGATAC